TGGTCCAACTCAATTCACAAGGCCGGTTGGGTCCTTGGTCCAACTCGGCCCACTAGGCCAGTTGGGTCCTTGGTCCAACTCACCTTTTCTGCTTCATCTCTTTCGTGAATAAATATCCTGCAACTCATTTGAGATAATGTAACTTGTTCTCCTATGTTCTTCCCTAGCTAACTATATTTATTTCAATAGCCCCATGATCACACAACCCTAGGTAGTTACGTATCTGATATCATAACCCCATGATCTCATAACCCATGATTACGCAACCCCATGACCTAACCCCTTGACCTCATCTCATGATCTCATCACCCCGTGATTTCATCACCGCATGATCTCATCACCCCGTGAACTTCTCACCCCTTGATCTCGTTACCCGATGATCTCATTACCCCATGATCTCATTACGCCATGATCTCATTACCCCGTGATCTCATCACCCCATGATCTCATTACCCCATAATTCCATCCTCCATCACCTCAGATTCCATCACCCCGTCACACAATCATCAAATTTTCTCATCACCCCTTTACCCCATCAACCCATACCCAATCGCCCCATTGTCCCATCACACTCCCACGATGGCATTTCTCATCAAAACCCCTTCTCCCTGTCCATCCCCATCCCCATCGTTTTCCGCCCCTCCTGGCCAGCATTGTCCATCACTGGTCCAATCCGCCTCTCCTGCACCAACCTCCCTGCTCCCTCCCTCGTTATTCCTCTGGCCTCCCTTCCCCACAATCACGGTGCGCATAGTCCAGCCAGTAAATTCCATCCCATGCTGCTTATGCACCGATCAATGATCACTCACCTCTGGGCTAAGGTCAGTAGTGCATTTTTTCGAACCCGCCTCTACCGAATCAGGTGTCTGCTCTCATTTGTCAACTGGCTAGCCACCACTACCATTGCCACCCCATCATCTCTTGGATCCGCCCTTTCCATATAAGGGACTCAGTACCTTGATCTCATCACCACATCACATCATCACACGATCATCCCGTCACCCCATTAACCATTTACCCATCTTCCCATCATCCCATCATACCATCACCCCTTCGGCCATCGTCCCATAATCGCGGCATGCGCTTGCTTTGCTGTTGGCCCTCACTGCATTTGTTTGTGCGCCACTCCCATGCTTGCACAAGTAACAAGCTACGAAACAGAGGCCGGGAGATCCATGCTCTTGCACCTTAGATTTCCTTCCCTCGCCTTCATCTTGCACTTTCGCGTTCCTCCCTTTCTCCCCATACTCAGAAACCCACTCGCCACCATTTTAAGAAAAAGTACGAATATTTATATTGCTCCCACTCCACCGCATCATGGTGGTGCACCATGACATGCAGCCTTCTCCACTCTTCCGCCTCTATCCTACCCTCCATTCTCCCACCCAAAACCACACAACTTTCCATGTCCAACCCCCAACGCATCATCGCAGGGAGCTTGGACAACATGGAGTGAACCGCTCCCCACGCATCATTACATGCACGGCACCTCTCCCCGCACCCCTGGGCTGCCACGGCACTGCCACTCACTTCCGGTGGGTGGGGCACACATGGTGCAGGTGGGTGGGGCACACATGGTGCAGGTGGGTTGGGCACATAGTGCAGGTGGGTGGGGTACATGCTGCTGCTGCTCCCCAAGTGTGACCGCAGGACCACCTCGTCCTTTTCCCGCCCATTAGATTCCGAATGTCATTCGGCTTCTTCTGCTGAACTGCAGTCTGCTGGTTCTGTTGCCCTATAAGTGACGGCACGGCATGTTCCCGTTGTTATTACCCACTAGTTTTCAGAAATATCAACAAATGGCAATAGGCCAAAGAGCCTTTCTTTCAGATTGCAGCTTCTGAACATGTATGCAATTTTCTTTGGTGCCTCTGGTTTAAGTTCAGAGTGGTTCACACACTCATCTAGAAGCAACCCATTATTCATCTGCACTGGGCATGTCACCAACTTGATAGTGCATGCATCTCACAGGCAACTGTGACAATGCATGTAACAATTCTGACATGAAACTACACAACCATTGTAATTGCAGAAGTCCATAGAGAGTAGAGCACAAGCTGTCAAAATGAGGAATGAATGGTTCCATTGATGTTGGCTGGGGTACATATAATAAACCCTAGCTTCTGTACCCCCTAAGACAAACCTCACTACAGGCTACAACGTTTGACACACCCCCATAGCCTAAGTGAGGGGTGTCTAGCAAAATCAAAAAGAGTACGGTCACAAGACCAGTACAAAAGAAAACAAAGCTCAGGGTGGATCACAACGTCACCACACACTCTCAGCACAAGCAACAGTGGCCACAAGGCCAGTCCAAGAGATCACAAGTATATATAGCAAGTGTACAGACGAAGCAGGCAATAAACTCAAGTCTACACATGACTAGAACCTGAGTCAACAAGGCCTAACTGCACACAACACCTCTGGTGGTCACAAGGCGGAAGCGCCTTGGTGAAGATGTCGGCAGTGTTGGCCTCGGACTCCACGAACTCGAAGCGAGCCTGTCCACGTCTCTGCAACTCTCGCAGAAGAAAGTACCTGACGTGAATGTGCTTCACTCTGCTCTCCAGTCGCGGCTCACGACAGAGGAGGATCGACGCCTTGTTGTTAGTAAACAAGGTCGGTGCAGAGCTCGGCCGCTCACCAAGGTCAGCGAGCAAGAAGGTCAACCACCGCAACTCCTGTGCCGCCATGGCACCAGCGTAAATCTCAGCCTCAGCTGTAGAGGTCGAGACAGAAGAGGAGCGCATGGAACGCCAGGAAACAGCTCCAGAACCCAGACTGAAACAGTACCCCTGAGTAGACCTGTGAGTCTCAGCGTCGTCAGCGTAAGAGGAGTCATAGTGACCAGTGAGTACGACAGACTGCTGCCCTCCAAGAACTAGCCCCACGCCTGATGTAGTCGCTAGGTACTTCGCCACCCTCACAGCTGCCGTCCAGTGAACAGGACGGTGTCTCCCTGGCGCAACAAAGCGCGCAAGGATGCTGAGAGGGAAGGCGAGGTCCGGGCGAGTACAAGTCATCAGGTACATGAGGCAACCCACAAGCTCTGCGTAGGGACCACTAGGCTCAAACGGCTCGTCAGGAAAGGGACCAGTGAGTCTGTGGTCAACAGCGAGAGGTGTGCGCTGTACGGTGGAGTGCTGAAGCCCGAACCGCTGAAGGACCTGCTGCACCATGTGTGACTGTGAGAGTGTAATGGTGCGAGCGGCTCTGTCCCTGGTGATCTGCAGGCCAAGGTAGTGGCGCAGCTCACCAAGATCAGTGCACGGGGGGGGGAACAGGCGGGCACGACGCGACGGGGGGAACGGGCGCGACGCGACGGGGGGGAAAGGGCGTGACGCGACGGGGGGAAAGGGCGCGACGCGACGGGGGGGAGGGGAAAGGGCGCGAGGCGACGGGGAGAAAGGGCGCTAAGCGACGGGGGAAAGGGCGCTAGGCTCGGTACTAGGCGCGGTAACAACGGAACTGGTACGAACGAGAGGTAGGATCAGGCTCGGGAGGTACGAACGGAGAACGGAGGAACGGGATCCCACAGGATCCTAACCTAGCTGATACCATGTCAAAATGAGGAATGAATGGTTCCATTGATGTTGGTTGGGGTACATATAACAAACCCTAACTTCTGTACCCCCTAAGACAAACCTCACTACAGGCTACAACATTTGACACAAGCTCCATGACAACAAATGCTGTCCTGACACTTGCTGCCCTGACAACACATGACCTAGGCCTGAGTGGGAGTGTTGGCAGGTTGGGGCGAAGTGAAGTCATAAGAGCAGCAAGTAGGAGGCGAATGAATGATACCATATAAAGAGTGGAGGTTCTGAGAGGAGTAAAACTCGACTTGTGAGTTGCTTGTGTCTAGGAAGGAATCTCATAGGCACTCCTAGAAGAAGATGCAACGAATGATCAAAGGCCCACTATGAGTACTTGTTTGCAAGCACTCAGCGTTTCAGGCCTGTCCAAAGCAAGGGGGGGTTGGGGGGGAGGGGTGAAGTGATAGTGGCGAAAAGGGTTTATTGGTTAAAAAGGCAGGGAATGGAAGAAAACAGGAGGGGCAGTGCAGGGACAGAGGCGACTGGGGAGGGTGATGGACGAACGTTATTAGACTTTCACGATGAAAGCTAGAGGGGTGGTTGTATCACCTGCCACACACATCATTGATAAGTCACATACACACCAGCACAAATTTCTTAGCATTATCTGTAGTTAGCTGTAGTAAGCTGAAAGCACGTGTTTTTATGTGAGGCACAATCTTCTTCTGGGCTTTGGCTTTTGCTTCCATCACATCAGAACCACCATGCCAAAAGATTGAGGATTTGTTCGTTTTCAAAAGCTCGGAGCACCTGGCACAATATTCGCATGCTTGCACGTAAAGCTATCCCACCTCTGCGAAGTTCAATTTCACTTCCTTTGGGAGGAATTTTGCTCCACAGCAAACTCGATCGCCCCTCTCTCCCCTCCCTCGCATGCCAATGGCCCCCAGTTGCAATCCGTCCACCCTACCTTAGGCTTCCCAACTTGCAATCCGTCCACCCTACCTTAGGCTTCCCAACTTGCAATCCGTCCACCCTACCTTAGGCTTCCCAACTTGCAATCCGTCCACCCTACCATTGGCTTCCCAACTTGCAATCCGTCCACCCTACCTTAGGCTTCCCAACTTGCAATCCGGCCACCCTACCTTAGGCTTCCCAACTTGCAATCCGGCCACCCTACCTTAGGCTTCCCAACTTGCAATCCGGCCACCCTACCAGTCATGTGTGAATATGGCACCGCTGTCCGGGCTCGCTCTTGTCACACTTGCCAATGAGACTCTGTGCATGACTCTGCGGAACTGGGGACCAAATGTACATCACAGCTTCAGAGGCACAACACAAACCTTTTTGCTGCATCCTATACCTCCCTCTCACCACTCGCCTAGCCACTCCCCTTGCTACCCACCTTGCTACCCACCTTGCTACCCACCTTGCTACCCACCTCGCTACCCACCTTGCCACTCAATTGCCACACATATTGCCACTCACCTTGCTACCCACCTTCCTACCCACCTCACCACTCACCTTGCCAATGTTCGTCCCACTCTTCTTGCTGTTCCTCCTGCCAGGGCATGTGAGCTTGTGGGAGGGCCAGTACGCCTTTTGGCACTCTCTGCCACAATAGACCACCTTGCCACACCCAGAGCAGTTCCTCAGCTTCACACCGCCAACCTCCACCTTCCCGCACTCCGCAGCACCGCACACACGCTGCCTACAAGCAGCAGCACCCGAGGCTTCAGTAACTGAAACAGACGCGGCTGCATTGGTTCGTGCAGCTACACCAGTGGTTGGAGCACCAGGGGTGGAAGAGACAGCAGCGGAGGCAGGGCGGTAGCACGGCTCCCCCAGCAGCATCTCTCGCAGACATGCCACCATATTGACTCCCCCCGGCCATGCCTTCAGATAAGCCAGGACCTCCCCTTTCTTGGCCTTCCGCTTGCTGAAACCACCAAGCCCATCCCCCTGTTTCATGTCTTCAGAGAACCTGGGCAGTAGAAAGCACTGGTAAACCTCACTGGCCCCTTCAACCTGAGCAAACTCATCCTCCTCCCCTGCCATCCTGCCACTACACGCCAGCACGCCTTCCCCCATGCCGGAGGCGGGCAGCATTGCCACCGTGAACCACGACTGCACCTCCTCCCACACAACCCCACTATCTTCTTCACCATCCCCACCCTTTCCTCCCCTCATGCCCTCCCCACTAGCCCCACTCTCTGACCTCCTCCCGCCTGCCTTCTCCTTGGCAACAGAGGTACCCATGCCAGCCCTGGGATTCTGTCCGCCTTCCGTGCCGCTCTGTTGCAGGAGAGGAGAGGCGCAGAGCAGCGCCAGGCTGAGCAGAAATGCAACCGGCACCAGCTCTGCCCGTTCCCGTAATGCACGCACACTGCTGCTACTGTTGCTGCTGCGCCTGTCAGATTGAGAGTTATGAGGGGCGTTTAAAGAAGAGTCCAGCCCCAGGCGGGAGAGAAGGCTCTGAAACACTTCAGACCGCGGCTTGAAGACAGAGAGGAAGCGGTCGAGGAGGACGAAGGCGGGGCGATAGGCGAAGTTGGCAATGAAAGCGACAAAGGGGGCGTGGGAGATGTACAGGGTGATGCACTGGCTGCAGTGGGCGCATGCTGGTGCCTCCAGGAACAAACCGGCAAAATCCACTATCAAGTCCGCATCTGCCCTGCAACGGACAATTGGAGGGGACTCTCCATTCTGATGTCGCAGCAGAGCTTCCGGGAAGCTTCCCTGCTGCGCTTCCCCATTCCCACTGTTCGCGCGACTGCCATCAGCCCTGCCCAGCCCGAAACATCTCGCACTGGAGTCCTCAGGAAACTTCATAGCAGCTTCGTCCCCCTCTGGCCACTCCTCCCACTCCAGGAGGCGGGTGCTTCCGTCCAATGGCGGGAGAACAGGGCCGAACCGGACCAGCCGGCTCGGAAGATCCCGAAGCGGGTGGCGTATGGGCAGGACCTTTCCATGTCGGCTGTCCTTGAAGCAGTTCTTGGCGGAAATCGAATCTGAGCCGTAGATCCGAAGCCACTGCAAGATACAAGCATCCCACTTGGTAAGCAGCCCAATGGTTGGGTCTGTGTTGACAGGAACGAGGCCAGGACTGAGCATCCCACTGCTGCTGGTTCCACTGATACCAACACTGGGAGCTGGTTTCCCTTTTGCCAGTGCAGCTGCTGCTGCTGCATCCACTGCTCCTCCTGTTGCCCCTCTCTCGTTCCCCTCTTTCCCTAGCTTCCCACTTGTCAGCATCCCCTTCCTCAGCCTCTCCCGGGCCTCGTCAATGGCTGCATCCTGCACGTTGCTGCTGGATGCACTCTGAGATGATGCGAAGAACATGGCTCTCAGCTTGCGGTGCTCTCGCCGGGAGAACACAGAGGCGACTGCCAGGGCGAAGTCAGTGGCGCCCACGCCACTCACATACATGCCCTTGGGAATATCCCTGCCTTCCATATTGAGGCTGCTGCTGCCGCCACCGCCGCAGCCGCTGCTGCTGCCACCATTGCCACCGCTGCTGCTGCAGCCGCTGCCGCCGCCGCCACTGTCGCTGCTGCTGGTGCTGCTGCTACTTCCTTCAATGCAGTGGCTGCACCGGAACTCCCTCCCTTCCCCACCTCCATGCTTTAGAATCCAAGCCATGCCATCCACATACCTCTCCCACACACGCCCCTTCAGATGCCCCCTCCACTTCTCACCCTTCACATCACCACCACCCACCCTGTCCTTTCCACTCCGCCCACCACCACCAATCCCAACAGGCAGACCCATCCCCATGCCCCCTGCACTATCACCCCCTAGAATCGCCACCATGTCTGCCATGTCTACTCCGTACTCATGCATGATTTGCAGCCACTCGTCCGGCTCCATGCAAGCTCCACTCTGCATGCTCTGCATCACAGCAGCCATTGCTTCCCCCACCTTCCCCATTTGCCCCGGCTGCCCCATCTGCCCCATCAGCCCCGCACTCATCGGACCTTTCTTCCCAGCTCCCCCACCACCCTTCCCCCTCCAATGTGCATGCGCCTTCTCCAGCCCGCCTGACAGTACATGCTGCACAAAGAACCCAAACCCTTCCTTCAGATCAGCACTCTCCTTCAACCCCAGCACCTGCACCAGCACGGAGGCAGCATTGCCCTCCTCCTCTTGGCAGCCCGCCCCCAGCTGGCTTGCTAGAGCTGGGTAGACGGCGTCATACACATCCACGTGCGCTTTCCATATGGTGTCCATTCGAGGCCACCTTGCCACAAGCACAAGGAAGGCAGCGAAGCTCACAGCACAGCGGTATGCACCCCAGCAGCTGCTGCAGCAGTAGCAGCCGGACCATGCTGCTGCAGCAACACTAGAAGCAGCAGCGACAGATGCAGACGCAGAAGCAGCAGATACAGCAGAGGAATCTCCAAGAGAGCCTTCATTGGCCATGAAATCTGATCCTCCCCAGGTCCATGAGCACGCCCACACGAGGCTCAGCCATCCACTCGAGCAGCATCGCCTCCGCGCAAACAAATGGTGCAAGAGCATACTTGCAGGAGAACTGCGCACGAGGCGCCATCTCCCCTTGCTCTCCAAACGCCTGCACTCTTAGCGCATACTCCAGCATGCTCTCTGTCGGGCCGGATCCGTTGCCCCTGTCGCGGCGTGGTGCAAGAGGGGTCGCGTCACGCACCTGTTTGGTGAGGAGGGATTGCACAAAGTCAAGGCTCTCCATGGTCACAACACGCTCTGCTCCAAGGCTGACCGCGCGGTCGAAGCAGCACTCGCACTCCTTCAGATCCCACCCGCCCCTCACGTCAAGATAATGAACCATTTCGGTCCGACCAAGCAGCTGAAGCTTCCCGGGTGTTTCCTGACCTCCCGCTTTACGTGAACTCCCGGCTTCCCGTGCAGATGCCTTGTGGACTGCATTTGTCTGCTTCGGGAACTCCCACTGCCTCATCAACTCGTGGCGATGACTCCAAATGGACTGCTTAAGTTCCGAAAGACCGGCCCCACATGTTGTTGCAGAAATCAGGACCTTCTCCCTTCTTCCACCGCCGCTTGCTGATGCGCGTCTGTTGAGCTTCCTGTGATTCTCGTTCTCCCCCTCCTCCCCCTCCTCCCCCTCCTCGTCTTCATCACTGCTGGATCCCATGTGGTCCCACTTGCTGTAGTCAACCCCATGAGGCCTGGCGACCGAAGTGGGAGCAGCAGCAGGAGCAATAGGAGCAGCCGCAGGAGCAGCAGGGGCAGCAGCAGGAGTAGCAGAAACAGCGGCAGCAGAAAGAGGACCGGGAGCAGCAGAAACGGCAGCGGGAGCAGCAGATGAAGAAGCAACAGCAACAGCGAAATGCTCATTTTCAGCGGGCACAGCAGCAGGAGAACTCACACCACCTTCACCTCCCTTGCCCTTTCCCTCTCCACCCCCATGCACAGCAACGGCGTTATTCACGGGAAGCACTCTAATGGTGGAACCGGATTTCAGCTTCGCTTGCTCCACAGTGGTTTCAGGAGAAAGGTACACCACCTGGCCGAGCACCATGTACCGAACCTGCTGCTTTCGAACCTCTGAATCAAAACCTGCCGTGTTCCCCCTCTCTCGTCCTCCCTGCTGACTTGTTTCGGACGGTAGGCAGCAGTTGGAAAGATAGGTCTGAAAGAGCCGGTTGACCGTTGAAGACCGATTCGAGAGGCTCATTTGGAGAAACGGCTAGGTGAATGTCCATATGGCTGCATGATGATAACGCGACTGGTGGCTTGTCCTCGGAATGGCTGCTGGCAATGTTCACACTGCAGGCGCACGGATCTTCGCTCCCAGACTTGCCTGATACGCGTCCATTTAGACCCGCTGGGACCCTGAATCGGATATTAAAAGCCATGGGAGAACTATGTTCCAGCGGATCACGTTGTTTTGACTTAGGGTTTGCTATGCGGGTGACGACTTCGGGGGAACGAACGAAAGCGCTTTCACAGATAATAACGTTTCTCCCAACAGCATAAAATGCCAAAGCAGTCAGCGCCTTAAGGGAATTCATGTGTCGCGAACTTCAGAGTCGGTTTGCCTGCGCTACTAAGCTACCGTGGTAACGAAGGTATAAAGGTCCATAGTGGCCGCTTTAATAACGGCGATCTGAAAGTTCATCACGCCATGCGTACCCCCCCCCCCCCCCCCCCCCCCCCCCCATGCTAATCTGTAGCAAGCTGAGCGAATTCGTCGTTTGACCAAAGCTGTTGCCATGGGAGGACATTCATGCATCGTACTAATCTAAAGGTTTTGCTGGTTTTAGAAACCAGAAGCGAGCAGGATGGTTTTGCGAGCAGGACGAAATGGTCGAGAAGGATTTGCGACAGTCACAATTTAGCTTTGGTGGTTTCCACCAAAGGCAACCTGGAATAAGCTTAGCGAAAGAAATGAGAAGTGCCTTTCATATTCTCTCAAGGAGAGAATATGGAACGTTGCTTCAGGTTATACATGTTTGGCGAAAGCAGCGCGTTTGAATGAAGTTCGCGCATCCAGATCCGACCCACCTCCATTCCCTTCACGCGGCCTCTCTTCATTTTGTGACTCACACCCATCTCCTCTCAGGCCGTGGAGACCAGAGCTACGGCACTGCTGTGTACACTGCGAGCAAGCACATCATTCTCCAGCCTCCGCTCATAGTTGCAGCTGTCGCCATACTCTCTGCACGCACGCACCGCTGCCGCTGACCCCTCTCGCATCTTATCCCGCACATCATATAAAATGGTCGTCGTTGTGTGGTTCTTCTAGATTGCCAAATTTGCGATAGGATTGGTCGATCGACGACCACAGCCTCACGATGCCGCGACATTATGCTACATCCGAAAAAACGTGGGTTGGGATTCCTACTTCGATGTTACTCAGGAAGTTGCTCTGGGGGAAGGTTTCCGAATGTATGTGTGAAGTTGCCGGTCATTATGCTTTTCGAGCGGATCGCGTGCACTTCGCTTCCAGGAGCCCTGGAACCAATCGTAAGGGTCCGACTGTTTGGTTTGGAAACTTGCGCGATTGGCCGATGGCTTGGTTCATTTCGTTTGGCAATTTCGTTCATTTGATTTTCGAGTCTGTTGGAAATGATCCCATTGGCCGATGTTCGAGACGCGTCAGACAATAATCTGTATAATACGCAAATACACTGAATTAGCGCTGTCTCTATGTAGAGAAATCAGTATAAATTCTATAATTCGAATTTAATGAAATAATTAATTAAAAGAGAAAATTCGTTATACTGAGGATTTATAATGACGTTACAGCATTCCAACTACGGACGTTACAACATTCATTGCACAGCTGCGTCATCTTAATATTTGACGCTTATTCTCTTTCATTTCTCAAGTGTATCAGCATCAATGGGTTCAATAGTAATAAAGACAAATTAACAAACGCCATTCTCCAAAAGCAACACTTTTGTAAACATTATAAAAACAATTAATTACTTCGGCTGCTCTAGAACACACACTGGCAAGGAATGACAAAGTTTGAAGAAAGAAAAGAGGAAAGAGGAATGAACTAGCAGAAATGGGGATACAAATAGCAAGCCCTAGAAGGGTTGTACTCGCTATAGAGCACCCCACTACAGGCTAGAACATAAGAATAATATTCTGACACACCCCCATAGCCAAAGTGGGGTGTAATCAGCAGAGCAGGCAAAGCAAAACAAGCTCAGGGTGGATCACAATGTCACCACACATTCTGAGCACAAGTTCAAGAAGAAATAGTTTAGAGTTCACAATTATAAGCAAAGCTAGTGGTAGTCACAACGGGCAAGTGAGGAGGAGGAGGGAGAGTGAGGGGAGAGGAGACAGGAGGCGACGGCTGAAGCTGCAGACACACGGGCAACAGGAGGCAGACTGGCACAGCGGCTACCGGACAGCGCCCGGACTACAGGAGTAACAGGCCCCGCGGCTCAAATAGCGGCGGACGGGCAACGGACCCACGGGCGGCTGGCACAGCTGGCTACGACTGGGCTACCGGGACAGCGCCCCGGACTACAGGTGCTGCGGACGACAAGCCGGCAGCCTCCGCTAAACCTCCCGCAAACAGTCCCACCCCCCTGATACACACCCACTGCTACACCGCTAGCTCTACTCCCACGCACCCCCCCTTAAACCCTAAACCCCAGTCTCCCACACAACCACCCCCCTCAGCGACAGCTGCAGCAGTGGGAGACGAAGGAGGAGGAGGAGCAAGGGAGGAAGGCACACCGGCCACCCCCATACCCGCCACCCCACAGCAAGCGGCCCCCTCAGGTCGCCTCGACGGACGACGGGAAATGGCAGGGGGAAGGGGGGGGGGGGGGGGGGGGGGGGGGCGGTGTGGTGAAAGGGGCCCACCACGGGCCTGGTTGGAGGGCGGAGCCGCGACAAGGGGCGGGACCGCGACGGTTGGGGCGGGGCCGCGACGAGGGGCGGGGCCGCGACGTAGGGCGGGGCCGCTTCGAGGGGCGGGGCCGCGACGCAGGGCGGGGCCGCGACGTAGGGCGGGGCCGCGTCGAGGGGCGGGGCCGCGACGGTCGGGGCGGGGCCGTGACATAGGGCGGGGCCGCTTCGAGGGGCGGGGCCGCGACGCAGGGCGGGGCCGCGACGTAGGGCGGGGCCGCGTCGAGGGGCGGGGCCGCGACGGTCGGGGCCGCTTCGAGGGGCTGGGCCGCGACGCAGGGCGGGGCCGCAACGTAGGGCAGAAGCCCGCCGCGCGCCTCGGGGCGCACAGCGGGCAAAGAACCGCCGCGCGCCTCGGGGCGCACGGCGGGCAGAAAACCGCCGCGCGCCTCGGGGCGCACGGCGGGAGGAAAAAGTAGCAGCGGAAGCGAGGTGGTAACCCACCCACAGGATCGATCCAAGGGGATCGACCTGCTCTGATAGCATGACAAAGTTTGAAGAAAGAAAAGAGGAAAGAGGAATGAACTAGCAGAAATGGGGATACAAATAGCAAACCCTAGAAGGGTTGTACTCGCTATAGAGCACCCCACTACAGGCTAGAACATAAGAATAATATTCTGACAAGGAACACCACCCACTGCTCAAATGTTTAAACAGTGGGACCTGCACAATGAGACTGGATGTCAATGAAAAAAAATCAGAGACAGAAACAGAATGATATCTAACCAGGAGCAACAGCCAAAAGGCCAGCAAGGAAAACAGGCGACATGCAAGGAAAAATATGTGACCTGCAAGAAGAAACGGGCGACATGCAAGTTGCAAGTAACAGAAGAGATACAATAACAAAACAAGATATACAAGCAGAAACTACATGAACTAGCTACAACGACATGCAAACACCATGCTGGCTGACGCATCTCGTCGCGCGCCTAAGGGGCTGATACAAAAGAAACAGGCGAACAGGACGAGACAAACAGAGAGAAAAAGCGAAGCAGCGCGATAACGACACAGGCCAACAACGCATTAAAAGTTGCTTCGAGCACCATGTCTCACGTATCAGCAGCGACGGCACGCAGGGTGAGTCCATCTGCGCTGCATTATGCATCACGTTGGGCGACAAGGTACCTGATAATCAAGAAACACAGGCCAACAAGAAAGAAGAGCGAACACAATGAGGAACGGAATTAAAAAAAATCACACAAAAAAACAACCGTTGTAATCATCACATTCAGAAATATCATAAACGAATGTTGTGGCGCGATGGGGAAACGGGAAGGATGTCAGAACATTATAGCTTACTTATTTGTGTAGGCTATAGTGGGGTATCCCATAGGGGGTACAACCCAGTTAGGGTTTCCTATTTGTACTCACTTCGTTCATAGTCATTTCATTCTCGTTCTACTTTTCTCATGGTATCGAGCAGGTTCCCCCGTG